AAAAACTGTATAACATCAAGTTTCATAAGTTTTGGTAGGAAAAATTCAGTTTGGTTTTTACAAAATAGTAAGTAGTTACTTTGGCCCTGTCTACCTCCTCAATTAAATTCCTCTTCCATCCCTCCCCCTGCCCAACTTCTTCCCTTTCCTCCTCCAAATCTGCATATGTCATTATTACTTACCTTCCACTACTCTGATACACATACGTAGGTATTCAGTTACTCATTTTTCTTCCTTTCCTGACATCTAAATCTACGTTCTGCTGCCTCACTGTTGTCTCATTTAGATCTCCTCTTTTCTTTAAGTTGCTCTGGACACATATAGATGCTTCTGAACACAGCAGTTAGGCTGTCTTCCTTATTACTCATTTACAATTGCTTTTTCATGTTTCCAAGTCGTTTTTCTCCACTACTCATAACAAGGCAAGACAGTAACAATTCTCATTGTTAGTGGTCTACCAACCAGAATTCTGGACGAACTGTGACACCTATGGCATCAATAACTTAAAATATTATTAAAATTTCTTTGAGTTAATTTTTTTTTTTAATTCCCAATATGTACTGAAACCTATCTAGCACGTTTGAAAAATCTTTAGAACTGAAACAGTGTTTAAAAACTGCTTTTTAAGAGTGACACTCCTATTATTTCATAAATACTTTGGCTTTTTGTAGTGTAAGTAATGGAGCTGAGTAAGATTTCTTCAGGGACAATATGGATTAATAATAGATGCAGAGGAAAAGCAGAGCTAGCGAGTACACTCACACCCTCCTAAGTCTCACTGGATGTGTTTCTAAACAGCATATTCTGGAATGCTGACACAACTGCATATGACAGAATCACAAAATATTATGAGTTGGAAGGGACCCACAAAGATCAAGTCCAAATCTTAAGTGTATGGCCTGTATAGGGATTGAACCCACAACCTTGGCTTTATTAGCACCATGCAGTAACCGAGCTAATCCCAGGGTCATATATACAACTGACTCATTTGAAAAAAGGAGGTTTTAATGCTTTTATACTACCGCTACCAAAATTTCTGCTACATTTTAAGCATTTCCAATACAGCTTCAATTCCAAAAGTTCATAAGATGTGACCCACAGCAGAATGAGATTTTGCAGTTGGAACAATTAATAAGAGTTCTTAACTATAATGGGGGAAATTTGGGGGGATCGAGGACTTCACAGCTTGCATTAGAACTGTCTAGTACTTTGGAGGCCAACAAGAGCACTACTGACCTTCATGGGAAGATGAGATATTCAGGGTAAAGTAACACTGAACTTCTTTTAGTTTTCTAGTGCATATACAGAAACGTGCAGTATATGAAGCAGCACGCTACATTTTAAATAAGCATGAGTCCAAATAAGCTCCCACACAGAATGGATGGAAAGCCCAAATGTTTCTTGATTCGATCCTGCTTCAAGCCCTTCCAGGCTTTCTGTTCTGTCAACAGATACGATATTTTAGAGCAAAGTAAGTACCAGACCTGGACTTCCCTTGCATTGCAAATAGCTGTGGTGCTCCAGAAATGTTCATATCTTGTCCTTTAAGAAGAATCAAGAAGAATGCAGCTTTTGGAAGGGAATAAGAAAAGGTGAAAAATATTTTCTCTTTTCTATGTTCTAAACAACTTGACAACTAGAATTCTCACCTCTCTTCCTTCTGAGGACATTATCTCTTTCTTTTCTCTGGCCACTTTCCTTCACTTGATTTCAGCTATTCTCCTGACTGACAACAGAGCAGAACACTCAGGGAGGGAGACAAGGCAGATGCAGTGAAAATTCAGGATGTGTATTTTCAGGTTTTAACCTGAAAATTAATTAATCTATTAATTAGAAAATCTATGAATTAATTATTAAAACTCTATTAATTAGATTACAAAATCCAAGATGTTACACAAGAAATAGCAAAAATAAAATTAATAGAAATATCTATAAGTGTACAAGTTTACCTGCACTTCTTTCTACTAAAATTTTCTGGATGTCACATTAAACTAAGTTGGTGAGTTAATTCAGGTGATCCATCATTCCATACTCACAGTTCAAAATAAATATAGGTTGTCTCTTTCTCCATAAGACTACATAAGGTACTGCATAGAAGTTATATTACTATATAGATGTATCCAAACACAAACACACACCTTCAAGTAAATTCAAACCCAGCAGCTCTTCAGCAGTAACCAGTGGCTTATGAGGTTAACATAGTACAAGTTAAAGCAAAGCCAAGCAGTTAAGCAATATTGCAAATAATTTCCAATCGTTTCCTATCTTTTCCATCTTCCTGTAAGTCTTTTCAATAGTTGCTACAGAAACGTCATTGGATCAGACGAGGCAATGGCTCAGAAAAACGTCTCTTTGCCCATAAAAGTATGATTCATCATTCATCGAAGTTATAGAAGTTAGGTTCAAATTAAACTATGTATACCATTTTGAAAGAGTGTCTATGCAATCCTCAGTCACTGAGCTTACTGATATACCCTTCTGGCTTGGTATAGTTAGATGTATTAATCAAATATATATATGTATATATATATATATATATGGTTCAAATGCAATTAAACTCCTTCGAACAAATAACCTGCCTAATTATATAAGGCTTTTTTACCAGATATCAGAGAGCAGATCTTCCAGAAGTAGTCACAAGGGGTTAACATGACTTATAGTAATAACAAAATTATTTTTAAATTATGGATAAATCAATTTCAATTTGTATTATTTTATATATATATATATATTATATAAATATTTAGATATTTCAAGTGATCATTGCTAGAGTCTCTGACTGTGCATTTTATAAAAGACACTGTGGGATGATAGGACAGAGAAAGTATGTAACGATACTTCCTGCAAGGCAACAGCTTGATAAGAGTATTCCTTATAGCTTATAGTTGCCCCATGAAGCCCCCATAGGGTACATTAAAAGCTGAAGAAACTGTCAGAAGGGTTGTACATGTGTGCATGCAGATGTGGTTGCACAAATATAAAACATGTCTGTCAGAGAACTGCAAAGTAAAATAAATTTCAGAAACAGAAAATTATTTTAAAAAACAAATATTCTCTTTTTGGCATATCCCAATACACCAGACATACTTTAATCATTGCACAATAAAACTTGTGCTTCAGTCAGATTAGTTAACAGAAAACTTAGAGCTGCAGACATTAGCAGCACTGGTCAAGCTATTGAGAGCATATATCCAATTTCCCACTTTCAAAATTAGAGCATTAGAACGTTAGATGTACAATATTAACTATATTTAATTTTAGCTATTAGGTGACTCAAGAAACCAAATGTAACAGTAAGAATTATCCTGTATCTGTACTTTGACAACACAATGCAATTATCTAAATTCTACACATATATGCCTTTAAAAATAACAACATTTCTGACTGTACATAAAAATATTGTAAGTTTCAGGCAACTAACCCAATCATGTGTTGGATATTAAAATCAGACGTTAAAGCCAAATCTGAAGGTATCTTATTAATTTTCTTCTCAAATATTCAGTAATTTGACATAATTTTTTTTCATGCTTACTAAACAACAAAAAAATCCCATCAACTGTACTTATTACAATATAATTTTAGAAGAAAAAAAAGTGTTTGCCACAATTAATTGTATAGGGGAAAGGACAGGGAAGGCACTGTCTCTTTAGAACTCTGCAGGTGTTTTTTTTTTCAGAGGTTGAATTTCTTAAATTCAGAGGCCTGCGCTTTGTACAGTCATATGAACAGATCTGGGTCTCTTAAGTTTTTTTGAAAGTGCACTGAGGAAAAACATATAAGAAAAATATCAGGCTGGAGGGTGAACTCCATATAACAGAAACTTCACATAACAGAAAAGGGAATACAGGAAGTATGAAGTTGTGATTTTGGAAAGAAACATTAGAGGACTGAAAGTACAAAAGAAAAATAACAGTAGGTTCTTGAAGATAAACATAAAAATAAACAACAACAAGGGAGACCAGCCCATGGAACAGTCTGAGTGAAGCCATTCTTGATATCACTACACAGATTCACTGAGTAAGTTTGAGTGAAGTAGTTGAAGTCAAGAGAAGTCACTCCACTGACATCAGTAGACTTCGTTCAGGCCACTACATGCAGTCCTTCTGATCCCTCTTCCTTTCATCTAGGCTGAGAATCCTCCCCATTTCACTGAACAGTACTGTCTCCCATTTCTTTAAGAATCTGTGTTTGTACCCATGGTCTGGAGGGTTTTTTTCAACCAGTCTCATCTATGCCTGCCTCAAACCAATAAAATTTACAGCGCACCTGTACCCTTCTCGTAATGGGCAATAGCAAAGCTCATCGAGTATATTAGTGCTAATGGGAAGGCAGTGGATCAAGGAGAGACTCAGGAACTCTGGGACCATGAGTGTAATTGCAAGCAGTGAGAACACAGAGACAGAGCTAAAACATAAGGGAAATTATTTATTTCTTCTTATTTAAGCTGTGCAGAAGGACTATGAAGCATTTTCGTGCACATTATTTACAGCCCAAATATAGCATAAGGCATGCTAAACACTGAAGGACAGGTTGAAATTTTATTATCTAGTGTTCAGACTTCATGGTTAGCCAGGATATCTGTTAACAGAATATTTCAAAAGCAAAGTCTACCCTCATGGAGCCTACCATTACTGGATTTAAATATTTACTATGCTTTGAACTAGTAGTACTTTAGTGTTTTTTTCTGATACATATGTGACAATGTTGACAGGAGTTTCTATCAGTTCAGGATACTAACTACAGAGACTTATCCATTATCAGACGATATTGATCAAATGTTTGAAAGCAAGAACTCTCCAATTGCTTTCCTTTCCTTCAAATACTTACTATTTTCTTTTGGGAACGAAGCATGTCTTTTATTATAATGGGTTCTATTTGCTTCTGGAGCATGAGTTCACACACTTCAATTACTTTCAGTTAATTGTGTAATGTTTGGTGAGAATGGGGCTTGGATGGTCTTTATTCAGATTGGGGTTTTTAAATTAAGAATATCAGCTTACCTTCTGGTGAAGTACCTGGCTTTTGAGAAAATACAGAGCTTATTTTACTCTTCTTGCTGCTGTTGCTGTTGACAGACAAGGTGGATTGAATTTTTCTGTGCATTTTTTCTGAAACAGGAGCTGAAAGTGTTCTGTTATCTGCAGGCATGTGCTTGACCCCGTTGTGAAGTCCACTTCCATTACTCAGACCCACGTGGCCATTCTGGATTTTGCCACTTTCTTCCTCACCCCTTTCCAGTGCTGAAGTATTTGGCTGAGGCAAACGTTGAGGTTGCGCTTAAAAGGAAAGAAAGAAAGGGTTAATTTAAATTGTAAATTGATAACTGAACATTTTAGGCTAGACTGGGAATGGAACTGTCATTGCTCTTATTGATCTAACTACAGACTGACAATTTAACATTCCCCCATCAAAAAAAGAAAGCAAAAAATATCTCTAAATTAAAAATATTATTAGGCATTCAAAAAGCATATCATGTATGCATGAGGCCTAGATTCCCCATTTGGCACTGCAAGGAAAGGTTTGCAAGACTCTATGAATTACACAGAGAGAATAAGGCAAGCAGTTTGAAGAAAGGAAAAAGTGTGGCAAACAAAGTAGCAAAACTGAGATAAACTTGTACTAAGGGAGCCAAGTGAATAATGGTGGAAATACAATCAAATGAGAGAAAAAGATATTGGAGTGAATATACAGACCGCAGTACCAGAAGTTAAGTTGCAGGTTGGTCAACCTGTCAGTCTTCAGAAAATAACCTTAGTGACACAGTAGGGGTCCCCCAACACACAGCCATCACAGACCAGTATATTAAAGAAGAATGGGAGTATCCAGGTAACTAACAACATTTTGAGCTTAATTCATAAAGATCATGGATTGCTGGGAAGTACAAAACCAATCAAAATCTGGTTTTAAGGAGGAGGTAACCAGAAGGCACATGCATTCAAACAGTTGTGGCAAGCCAGAGTTCCCTCCTTCATATTCCTCAACTCAGAACCACAATTTTAGAAATAGCTGTAGTGGGCCAGTTGGGAATTTAATGGCAACACACTGAAATGGTCAAAGATAAAAAAAATACAAAACTTGTTAAGGCAAGAATCTGCAGTGACCTAGTTAAGACTCTGAGAGTACATGTTATAAACTCATTCTAATGAGTAAGCATGAAACTTGATCATTCTCTGTTGAGCTACTGTATCAATAAAGAAGCATAACTATAATAACATAGAAAAGAGACTGCCTGTGTATTTAAAGTCTGTAACCAAAGAAAAGATGCAGGGTTTTTGTTTTTTTTTTTTTTTTATGTAAAGCTTTGTAATACAAAAGTGATTTCAATTTGACAATTCTTATTTAGAAAAAAATGCAGACTTCATTGGAAAACTAATTAAACTATACAAATAGTAACACACCAAAATTTCACAATCAAAAAACAGGCTTAATCACCTCTCCTAATCAAAACACTACTGCATCATGCTTGGACATAAAGAGGTTTTCAGACAGTCCAATCTCCAACTATTTATAAATTTTATATCAAGGAGAAAGTCTAGATTCTACTAGAGACTCAACTGAAGAGAAATTAGTGCCAGGGGTAAAGAAAAACAGTGCTGCAGTTCATTCTCTTTTCAGATGGTTCACATCCATTTTCAGATGTACACAATACACAATAATATATATACTACATTGTGTCCAAGGTAATAAAACAGATAGATAATTTTAATTAGTTCTCTTTAAAAAGAAACATCTCCAGCGATCACTTCAGGTACAAGTCACCAAATTTTCAGACAAATATGACTGGGTCATATAGACCAGCATGGTCTATAAAAAGATTCTCAGTTCTAAATTTGCCTAACAAAGTCTCAATGCTTCCCTTTTATTCAAGACACTGACATCATTCTGAGATTGCTGCCTCCAACTATCATAAACTTTTTCAGACTAAACTTCGTACCAATCTTAAACTTTACATCCTAGACACATTCAACAGGCGAATAATTTAAGTATGAAATGGTTCATTTTTTTTTCTTACCATTTGATTTTTTTGCTCATAGCCACTAAGATTTTCAGAAGATAGACTTGACTGCCCACATCAATCTAGGTCAAAGTAACCATGCTTGAACCTACTTGACTAAAGTGATAATTTTCTGTTTCTGCAAATAAAGAGAGGGCTGGAGGAAACATTTAGGTTTTAGCCTCCCCAAAGATTTTACAGGGAAGACAAAGATTAAAGATCATTCACTTCCATTACCAGCAGTAACTGCTCACAAACCTCCAAGCCAACAGAGCAGGAGTAAAACATTGATACCTGAACAATTAATTGTTGTCCAAAGACTTTTTTATTGACAATGCTGAAAATGCTTCTTCAAAGCTTCTTCTGATAATGCTTCTCCTTCAATTTTGCATTAGTGTTTGCAAAATCTACAAACAGAAGCAAGGCACTTTCTTCACTTTGAAATTGAATTTGTAGTATATATTTAATGAACTTCTCCAGACTTATATAAAGGTCCCAAAACAAATTTTTTAGGGAGTTTTTTCCTGTATGAATAAGAATCATTAAAAATATACTACCAGGAACCCTTTGTGTAGATTCCCTTTCCATGTATGTGGAAAATCTATTTTGTTAAAAATCAAGTCATTCATTCCATTTTAAAAATAGGCAACAGAGAGCTAACCACAGTCAAAAATATCTGTCAACATCAGAAATCAAAATTTTACTCTCTAAAATTCAGTGTTTACGTCCATAGCACCCAAGAAGTTTATTTTCATTATCTCACTTAAATGTAAATTGCATCATTAAGGAACAGTATTTTTCATGGTCCATGTAATGATGCTTCCTCAGTCTGCACTGCCTATGATCCCCAACTGTGAAGTGGTGCAGTTGCAACAATAAAGTAGAATTACCGGGGAGGGGTTAACCTTCCTCTATAAACAAAAGTTATTCTATACTATTCTAAAAGACTATTCTAAAAATTCTGTGTGTCTGATGCCGGTTTCTAAAACTGGCAGTTACGACCTTTTCCAAGCCAGCTAAATTGGTGGTGGCAGCTTACAATTGTTTGTGTATTTTGGGGTCTTTGCTATGATACAATAACTTGACAAATTATCCAAAATTCAATCTTAAAAATTAGATGTGTTTCTGTCAAATTGTGGGTGAATGAAAAGTCTTGGAATATCTAAACAATTTTGGTTTTGCTTTTATTATTATTTTTACTAAGGGTTTTGGAGTTTTCTATGTTTTTCTAATTTTAATTTTTTATTAACTTATCCTGTTCCCAAAGTACTTGAGTCTTCTAGCATTAACATACAACTTTTTAGCTGACTGGCTTTACACTATTCAAATGTTATATCCAGGTCAAATCAAAATGGAATAAAACCCCAAATGGATTAGTTATCTCAATTTAAATTTATTTTAACTTTATTGATAATTTTGCACTAGGGAGACTTGAATATTATGGTTAAAATACACTTGAAACCAATTAGGAACCATATGACCGCATTCTAGCATAAAGAACAAAAGCAACTGACAGATTAAACCACAACCACCTCAGTTTAAAACAGAAATATTTTTACCTTATTTTTAAAAGGTTGTGTATATCTTAAAAAAAAAAAAAAAAAAAAGGTGTAATATGAGGAACGACACAATGCTTCTTAAAACACAGTGATACCCAGGGACTCTCACTCTCTCTTTAATGATCCACTGCTCTCATTCAGCTGTCTTTCTTTTTTCAAATCTTTACATATGTGACAGCTCTCAAAAGTAGACCATAGACCATCTGGCATTTTCCGAGGTGTAACTTGTGCAAATTCAGCTCTACTGGGAACACAATGCTATCTTCTGCCTGCGTTATAAAAGATACAATAGAATGTAGAACTTATGAGTTGTTTTGAATTATTCATTTTTTGCCTGTATATTCAAGAAATTTTACAAACTCTGCATTTTGTACTACATAATCACATGCGTTAAAGGTACAAAGAAACTTTTTGACACCTCTTTTCTACAGAAAGATGGCATTTTGTTTGATATCTGAACATTCAGCGCCTGTTATATCATTCTAAACAGACCGTGTGCTGCTACAAAAGATCCCATTTTACACTCTATGTATGAGTAAAAATTTTATTCTTGATATTCAGTAACTAATGCAATACACATCAAAATTTCAAATATGTGTTGGATGAACACTCAGCATCTTCAAATCAGGATGGGACTGGTCACTTACTATATGTTAAAGATTTAAGAAAAAAATCATTCCTCAGACAACATAGAAAAATTGGCATTTCAAATATCCACAATGAGTAGTTTTAAAATGTCCTAGGAAATACTGTGCTTTTCAGGTTAATATGTTTTTAATCTTCAGCAAAACCAGTATATTTAAGTCAATATTTTATACAGTGCTAACACTAGTGGATTTTCAATAAGAATGATAAATATTAGATTAATGATTCAATAGACTGAATCTTTTTTGATAGGAAACTAGCAGATAATGTAGGTAATAATAACTGTACAGGAATCTGCTGCCTGTGGAAAAGCAATAAAAAGTCAATATATTGCTATAGCATACAATTTATTAGCATGTTTCACGGCTTCTTTGTCATTGGTTTCCTTGCAAAGTGGGCCTTAATACAATAACTTCTGCTGTTATATAACTAACTTTACATAACAATTTAATTGTAAGGTTACTATCTGGTGAATTTGAGTAGTAAACATTTATTATGGCTTTGAAGTAACTACGCACATTCTCTTTCAGACTGTAAAACCCTTAGCACCCTTTAAACAAATATGCACATATATATGCACCCTGACCAAACATTGTTTTTACACCTTGCAAAGCACCAGCTAAGAAAAAATCCTGATGCACCCATTTAACAGAAAAATGTATGTCAACAGAGGGAAACTCTCAACCAAAAGAGGACAGTCTAAGCTATCATTAAGGATTTTAGACAAAATACAAAAACAAACATGCACTGAATGCAGACTCTGAGTCAAAGTAAATCAAAAGAAAACATCAGGAGGGAGAAAAGAATTGAGACAGATAATTAGTAGCCTAATCACATCAAAAGCAATTCCAAGGCAGCTGATACAGATACCCGTGGAGTTTGCTAGGCCGGCCAATGAGCCTGATTGGAAAAATACTTTCCAGTTTGCAGCCTGGGTTATCTGACTACACACCCAGAGAGGTAAGAATGCTGTTTACCTTCATCTATGACACAATAGTTTATGATAACAAAGGCCACAGAATCAATATTTTTGCAGGTCAATGAGAGAGGAATAAAATGCTCAACTCCTGGGTGTAAA